AAAGAGGTCTGACTAACAGAAGCTCTTCTGAGTCAGATAAGACTGGAAGAAAGATTGTATGCTATAGTGTACCTACAGTTAACTGGTTCGTGGTGAAAAAATCAGACTAGTACCAACAGAGTTCTGTTTTTTGTATAGCCCGCTAGGAGGAATTCATGCAGGACCATCATAAGTAGTGTAGCACCTCTGTACTGACTTCTCCTTGCAGGATTAACTGCTGAAGTCTTTTGGGGGCTCGAAGGGCCTTTTTGCAATACCTAGCATATTAAGCTCTAGACATTAAAACTGCTTATGCTATTTTCTGGGTTGAACTTTCTCTGCTGTGCCTCTGGGTGCTGCTGCTTTGTCCTTTAACAGCTGGTGGTATGCAGGGCTTTTGGAATGGCATGCGGACCTTCTCTTCTCAGGGTGATGGAGCTCTCAGCCTTGCTTGTACAGTCTCAGAAGCAGAATGAAGAGAAGGAGAAGACCATGAAGACGCTTAACGACACTGTGGAGATTCTAGTATGTTTTACTTTTGTCTGGGAGATAGCCCAGTGTCTGTTTTGTCCGAGTGGTTTGCTCTCCAGCCCTAACACAGAGGCGTGGATTTTTTGAGAGAAATAATGATAGAAGTGCTAGCTGTATAAAAGCATGAAGAGTATTGCCAAAATATGTTGTATGTTTAGCAAATCTGGAACCAATGCACATTGAAGGCAAGGGTAGGGGAGTTGCAGGCGATTCAGGTGTCTTCATCAGAGGACTTATGTCAATGTTATATTTTGCCTCTGCCTCTAAGTCTCTAGTGACGAAAGTTACTTGGGACTAACTGTTTCTTAACAATCTGTAAAAACTAGTTGCTGGCGTTTCCTTTTTACTTTTAGAAAAGAAAGAATTAAATAGATATTAAAAGTAGATGACATGAATCACTAGGACTGAGGCTTATCAGCATGACAGTGCTACTGAAGTTGAGTGCTACAGAGTGAGTGTCTCTTTCCTATCCACACTTCCTTTATTTTGTTCTCAGGAGACAAGTCGGTTGGAGGTAGAATATGAAGCTTCATTAACTAAAAATGCCAAAGAGGAGAATCTTTCTCTTCAAAAGTTGATAAAAGATATCATTGAGGTGAGTACAGAGTTGGTACTGCATCTGTGTTGAGGCATCATCCCTGTAAATTTGGTTGAAACATTCCTGATGAAGGATATAGAAAAGCAAGTGGAAAAGATAAACATATTGTAAGGCCAGGAATCTCTTCAGAAAACAAAAATCTTTAAAACTGCAGTTGCTCTTTTATTTTACAATATTACCAGTTAACATTATTACCAATTAACAATATTATTATATTTATAGCTGGGTTTACATCATCACTGTGATTGCTTCTAAAATCTTCTTCTAAAAACTTCTAAAAGCTGTCATAGGATTTCCTCTATGTCTTTCATGCATCATATTATTTTCCTGTTCAAATTCAATGATAGATATCTATTACTTTTTTTTCACAGTTCCAATGTTTTTGCTATTATCTTCAGTTCACCTTCAACTTGGATAAGCTCTTAGCAAAAACTGCCTTCTTTGTTGATGTATATAGTTGTAGTTTTTCTCTGCCTTTTTTATTTTTCTTCAGCACCTCTTTTATTCTTTATCTACTGTCTTTCATACAGACTCGCTCTCTGGGCCATGGCTTTTCCAGGAAACCTTGGATTTTTTTATCCCTGGTTCAAGGAATAGACAGATACTGGTCTCAAAACAGACCCCTTTCTGGGTTTAATTTCCAACCAGTCTGCATTCCTGTTGTCTTTGAACTCCTGTTAACAGGGTCACCTACTAGACTTCTGTGCTGGAGTTTAGTTGCTACTGGCTGTTTAATTTTTGTGCCACTTTTCTTGTGCAAACCTGTTATAACTTCAGAGTTGGCTTTTTGTGGCTCTTTAAATGAGCCCCTAGACATTTCCCTGCCTTTGCCTTCACTGTTCCGCTTAGGTCTTCTCTTGGACAGTGCTTTCTGAACGACTACGTAATGTTTCTATTCCTATGTTGCTTGGAGGCTTCCCAAACCCACCTTGAACATTGACACTTTTCTCTGTATTTTTATTAAAGGTCACTTATTACATCAGTGCGTTTGCCAGCTCTGCTGCATTCATCTGCACTCACTGCCATTATGTCATCAGAACCTTAACTGTGATTTACCCCTAAAATTTACCCTACAGCAACCCCAAAACTTTTAGGTTTTGGTCATCAGGTCTGTTACGCAGATCTCGCCAAAGTCAGTTCTTTTTCCTTGTTTAGTCATTTTTATCCTTTTGTACTACTGCTCAGAGTAATTATGCACATTTGCTATTTCATTACTGCTTTCCAGCAATCATCAGCTGCCTTCTTCCTTGAGCAGTGTTAACATTTCTTTTTATTGATGTTTCTGGTGTGTTCTAGTGCTGGTTTATGTGGCTGTAATAAGAAAGGAGACAAAAATAATTTTTGAAAGCTTCAGGAAACAGCATTCAAGCAGCCTACAGCTCCTTCACATTTGTTTCTGTTCCCCTTGTTTATAGCAGCTGTAATCAGAAATCCCTTGAGTACTTGTGGTCACTGACAAAACATCTTTATTCAGTGAGGAAATTAGTGATTTAAGTCTTTAATGACTCTAGAGTGATGTTGGGGAAGGACAACTTGATAAAGAAAACTGAGCAATATAAGCAAGGAATAACAGCTTGATGTGGCCTTTCAGGTGGTGTTAGATGACGGCGCAGTCAGCAGTGGCTGTCCTGGCAGTGCTCAGCACGCAGAGTCTAGCAGCATCCCCTCTTACCTGAGCTCTGGCAATGCAGAGTATGCCCTTATGTTGGTGCAGGAAGTGCTGGCAAGGAAGCGAAGAGTAACACAGGTGAGAATTTCGTGTCGTCTTCACCACTGACCACAGTTTCATCAGCTAATGCTTCCCAGCTACTTCCAAGGTAACACTTTTCATCTACTCAGCCAGTTTCCTTACGGCTGACCCACTCTCGCTGCCCTATTGCTTTGCCAGTCTCACCAGCCCTGTGTTGCACTGCTTTTTTTCTCATGATCTCCATCCCTTCATCATAGCTTTTGCTTTCAGGTGAGCCGTCTCTCTGCTTGCCTCTCCCTCCAGGCTACTGCATCTGGAGCCATCTTCCCTGCTCATTATTGCCTGTTTGTGTTGTTTCCATCCCTGCTCCTTGCAGGCCCTAAAAGACGAGCTTTCTGCCAAGCAGAACTCTATCAGTTTCCTGCAGCACCAGCACAGACAGCAGGAAGAGGAGTGCAAGAAGTTGCAGCAAAGACTTGAGCAGCTGGAGGAGGAGTGTAAACTGAGCAGCAACCAGCGGCAGCAGCTCCAGGCTCTGGTGGAAGGACTCAGAAGGTGAGCATTTCATTCTTCTCATGCATGCTAGAGGCAGTCTGCTTCTAGCTTTTGGAATTCAGAGGTATTTCGGACTGAGAACTCACCTGCCCTACAGCATATGTGCATCCAGTCACTGTTTCTCCTGCTCCAGTGTGATCCTAAGACCATCTTGGAGATTTAAGGTGGTGTTGGAATACAGGATACCTTCCTCTCAATGAGGAGACTCTGTTCTTTGGGTGTCTTGTGTATAACCTGACTGGACGATGACCCCTTTTTTTAGCCACTGCTTCTCTCTGAATGAAGACAACAGTCTCCTCCTCTTTTTTCCCCACTCAGTTCTGAGGGGAAGAGCAAGTCCTTCCCCACCCTGCTCTCCACAGATCCATCACGGAATGATGAAAATGTGATCCTCATCTACTAGTCCTTCTCATTCTTGTAGCTTGACCTTGTCTCTGCAGTGACTGTGCAAGCCTAGAGAGAAACAGGGAAGAGCTACAGCAACAGCTCAAAGTAACTGAACAAGAAGCCTGGCACCTGCGTCAAAGTAACACTGAACTGCAGCTGAAGGCAGGTTCTGCCCAAGAGGAACAAGTGGAGGAGCAACAGACAACAGAAGGAGAGCATTGGGACCGAGAGCTTCTGTGAGCCTTAAATCTTTCTCTAGGCAGGAGTGGGCATAGTTTGGACTTAGGAATTCCATTCTCAGTATAGCAGTGGGTTTTTTTCTGTTCATCAACTGTAGTGTAGAAAGATGAGAGATTATATGGACATGTCTGGGCACGTACTGACTGACATACAGCACAGCCTGCTTGTACTTCAAGACCTGTTAAAGGAATCATTCTGAGTCTGATCAGAGCTGGTGATAGCAGGCATAAGTTGAAATGAGAGGTTCAAATTGGTTTTAAGGAAAACCTCTTTAACTCTGAGGACAATCTGCAGTAGAACAGGTTTCCCAGAGAGGGTGTGCAGGTTCCATTTTTGGAAGTTTGCAAGACCAAACTGGATGCAGCCTTGAGCAACTTGGTCTGATCCTTCCTTGAGCAGAAGATTGGGCCCTTGTGGGGTCCCTTCCAACCTGAATCATCCTATATAGGTTTGGAAGTTCTGAGACACACACACCCTGAAAGATTGCTATCTCTTTCATCATTTCACTGCAGAAAGCAGTAATTTGGGAGATACTGATCTGGACTCAAAAAGTATTTTTACCCAAAGAAAGCTTTTGCTAAAACTTCCAATATATTAAAAAAGAAAGAAGTTAACTAAAAGACAAGAGCTGTTAAACTAAGAGTACCCAACCTTTTCGGAAATGTTCCTTGATTTTTGGAAGCTTATTTTCCTTTCTTGAGTGTTTTCCTGGGTTAAAATATCTACTACTTCTGGAAATGAAAATGTTTCTGATATGAGAAAAAACTGTTTGCCTTTCCTCTTCCCATAGTCAGAAGGACTTAGCTGCACTTGAAGCAAAACATTCCTTGTTACAGAGTGAATTGATTGTTGCAAGAGAGACATTGGAGAAATCGCAACTTCAAAGAGATCTCCTGAAGCAAGAGAACCAGGAGCTTACAATGGCATTGAAAAAGGTGTGGTTGCCTTATTTTTAGTTCACACTTGTAGGAGAGGGAGTTCTGACAGCTGAACCCCTACCGATTTTGTTTCTGGCAGTGTGAGAGAGGGGAAATGGTGTTCTCCTTGGAAAACGTTGTGATCAGACCATATGGGCCCTTTGGGAGAGTTAGTACCCATACTGGGAAGGTGAAACTCCGTTTAGGATCTGAAGGTGCTTTTTAAAGTCAAGAGCTTTTTCTGTCTTTATTTTCATTTTGTTTTTTTGTGTCTTTAGGCAGAGCAGTTGGTAGCAGAGCTGTCAGGAGCTCAGAATAAGCTGAGATCTGAAACAGCTGATCTACACGTCGCAACAGCAAAGATGAGTAGTATTAATGAAGCTCTGGCGTTAGATAAAGTGCAACTGAACAAGCTTGTGCTACAGGTGAGCAGTGTTGCCAGGATCCTGCCAGGTGCTTGTGTCCGGATGGTGCTGCTTTCCAGACCTTTTACCCTCAGACAGTATGGCTGTCTGAATATGGACATATGGCTGCTTTTTCTACTCAAGCCAGACCTGGTATACAACACATCTTGCTGTGTTCTATTTCCTCTATGCTTTTGCAATTGTAGCTGGAACAGGAGAACGAAGTCCTGTCAAGCAAAGTAGAAGAGATGGAGAAAACAAAGATCTCTGTGCAGGAGAAGCTGAACTTGTGTAAAATGACAAATGAAGAGCTCTGCACGGAGAAAGCCCACCTAGAGCAGCAGTTGAAGAAAGCAGAGGACCAACAGGAGGGACTGCAGGTAAAACTGAGGATACTGGCAGAGGAGAAGGAAGAAATTCAAGAGAAGCTCAATCAGGTGAGACCAAAATTCTGGTACTGGATTGGCAGTTAGATGCCTGGCTCAGTGTAGGCAAGTCTGCTGGGTTGCCTATTGCTGTTTGCAAGAAGACACTTGGTTCTGCTGGAGGTCACAAGACCCTACTTATTTATTTTTGGAAATGGATCAGTGGCCAGTAGAGATGCTCTGCAGTTCTCTGAAGCACTGAGTTGTCCTCTGCTTTTATAGATTATTCTGTCCATTTGTCGTCTTTGGCCTCTTTGGCTTTTGACAAGCTGCATACAGCTTGTTTTCTTGTTGTCTGTGAATCCTGAGCAAGTCTGCTGCTGTCATTTACAGCAAAAGAAGAAAGCCGTTTAGCTCCTCATCTTTTTCTAGAAAGGAGAAAATAAGGAGTTGTGTGTTTCCATTTGTGCTCTTTGCTATGAAGTCTGCAACTCACAGAACTGCATTTGTTTTAGGCTTAATAGGGGATGTAGAACAGAGCTACAAGTCGTTTCCCGCTGACTTGCCCTGCTAAGGATGTGAATAACATTTTGCGCTTGCTTTTGAAATTGTGTTGTAAGACATGTAGCTTTGAATTGGTAGAGTCTCTTTAGGCTTCGAAGAAGATGAGAAATGAATGATCAGTTTATGCTGAACTAAGTGATTTTCACTATACTGTAAAAACAGCTTGTGAAAATTATGTCACTGGAACAAAGTGTCATTGAAATGACTGTTTTCATAATGTACGATCTTGGGTGTCGGGGATAGCTCTGAGAGTTGTTTCACACTGTGTTCTCTGCTGAGTAGACCTAGTTCTTGGGTATGGGGTATGTTGTTTGGCATATGCACAGCAGAGGTGTTGTGCTGAAGAAAAACACTAAAATGTCATAGTTAATCTCCAAGCTTGAATGTCACGATGGTATATTAGGCAACTTACTTGTGTAAGGCGAGTAAATAGTACTGTTGACATGAATTACTGTACAAGTAGAGTCTACCATCTCTTTGGCCACATCAGCCTGATTTTTGTAAATTCCTAAAAGACATTACTTGCCAAAAGGGCTCTGTCCCTGCCAAGAATCACTTTTTTTTTTTTTTTTTTGCATCCGCCTACTTTACAAGCTAAAACAAAATGATCAAAGTGTTGCCAACTTTAGAAGGAGAAACTGTGTTTATTTTAACTTTCTTCAAAGACTAAAGTTGCTTTTGCCTAACCTTACCTGAAAATTTCCAGTAGTGGAATAGATTCTGCCAAAATTTTGGTTTGCAAGGTCATAATTCTGGAAAATACAGATTTTTTTTCATAAAAACACATAATCTGGGGTATGTACATTTGTCCTGAAGGAGATGTTTGTTCCCCGCTAACTCAATATGACCATACACATCATTTCTAAATTAACAGTCCCGATGCCTTTTTTTTGGCAGCTCACTGTACTAGTACTATATATAGATGTCCTTAGACATTCAGCCCACAATACAGGACCTCTTTTTGCTGTAGCTGATTCAGAAGTAGCACTGGCTAATTCTGAACTTCAGAGAAACAACTGAAAAATGCATTTTCTCGCACTTTCAGATTTGCCACCAGCAGGAGTCAGCAAGCAGTGATTTGGAGCAGTTGCGCCAGGAGTCCGCTCACCAAACAGGTGTTCTGACCAAGATGTCCAGGGAGAAGGAAGTCCTGGTGCATGAGAAGGCTGCCCTGGATGTGCAACTGGCAGCTGTGGAGCGGGACAGACAGGACCTTTCAGAGCAGCTGGCAGAGGCCAGGTAAAGACAGGAAAGAGGCCTTAAATAGGACATTATTTAAGGTCTGGTTATAAAGGTGGTAGTAATTGCACAACCATTTATTTCACCCTGTATGCTTTCCATAAGGCTTCACCCCCAGCAAATTGAAATCTTAGGAGAAAAAATTACTATGATTTGAGTGTTGTTTTTCTGACAGCTAAAGCTAGTGAGCCTGTGAGCCATGTCTACTTGCAAGTCCAGTGCAATTCAGTATGATTCCTTAGAATCTGTTATATTGGTTCTGGTTTCAATTATAACAGAACTGCGCTCGCTCTGCTTGCATCCAGGTTTTTCATAGAGACTGAAACATCTTTTGCGGTGTTATTTCTTGTTCTATGTGTTTGAACAGAGTCTTTCCATATCGGGTAGTTTGACACAGGATTTTTAGCATTCAAGGCTATTGTACAGAACACTAACACATTGCCCTTTACAGTTAAGCTGGAGGCTTATGCTGAAGATCTTGAATAATATATAGTCTTCTGTTTCTAAGGCAACCTAGAGCTGATTGTACCAGCAACAGAGAAGCCCTTTTTTGAATCCTCGCTAGTCTTTGGGAATTCTTGTCTATCACTGTTGTATGGGCCCCTTGCTCCTTTACCACTTGGCCAGCAGAAACAAGCATCATGCTGCAGTTAAACAGAGATGGAACACGATGCTATGCTTTCCCCGTATCATGTTTTCAAGATTGAATATGGAAAGTTCTGCTTTTCCGGAGCTTTGTCCTCTCAAGGTGATTTTTAGAAGAGTTGTGAACTTGCAAAGTTACACAAATGACATTTTGGAGATTTTCAGTCTTGCTTCTTGAGTTTTGCCACTCACTGCTCCAGAACATATTGTTAGCAAGGCTGATAAACATCATTTGACTCAATCTGTTACTTGAGTTTACTCCTGACTTTCACAGTGGATCCAGTTAAATTGTGTTCTGTCAATTATTGAACTATACTTTTGGGCTACGACTTTTATTGCAGGGGGTCAGTGCTTGCTTTCCTTGTTCAGCTTCCAGAGGAGAGTGCCACCAAAGCCGAAAGGTGGAGGATGGAACATTATGAGCTGTCTATAGACATCTCTATCTTCTTGTGCCTTTAAAACTGATGAGACTTTCCATGTTTTATCAGCACACAGGTGAAGTGAAGAGCTATTTGATTATATATGTTCAGTGTAAAAATTGCTGTGGTAATAGAGAGCTCAGCAATATGTACTTTTCAGAGAAACTATATTAAAAATTCAGCTTGCCTTTTTTTTTTTTAAATCAACGACAGCGTCAGTCAAGAGATAAATCACTTTACAAGTATTTTTCGCAATAAATAAAGCATTACTTAGAGAAACTGGCAACTGTTTTCAAAACCCTTTTTCTCTCAGAATTTTGAACTCATTCTCTATTCATTTTTGGGGAATGACTTCTCTTTATCCTTATCCATTTTGGTGCATATTTACCTTGGGCTGCCAGAGATTGGCATTTTTGGAGTTAAGCTTTTGTTCTGCTTGCTTGAGGATATATCTTTTGTTGTCTGTCTGTGTAGTGAAATGCTTCTATTTGGGGTTTTATTGCAGTAACACCCACATACCCCTATACATATATTACTCCTATAAATATATATTACACTTCTGAACAAGGGAGGCAGTGCCACATATTGTAGGAAACTGACACACAGGAATTTGGATTAAAGAAGGGAGGTAAAGTCAGCTCCTCAGTGCAGCTCCTGGTTCAAAAATCCCCTGTGTTATATCAACCAGTTTCTAGAAGTCTGTGTAAAGCCATTTTCATCTGCAGTGCTATGGCTTGCGTTTCAGAATGACAAATCTGCAGTGCTATGGCTTGCATTTCAGAATGACAAATCGTCTGAGGGACTTCATAGTGAGTTAGCCACATTTAAAAGAAGCAGATTTTTCTCTTGAGCTTCCAGCAATCTCAGCTGAGGGTTACCTGCCATTTCTTGCAGGTGGTTCTTCTACTAGCAGAATTCTTACAAATGCTTCTAAAAGCATAGATGTTACTATATGCCTGGAATTTGAGGTATTCCTTTGGTTGCTTTTAAACTTAGTTTTGGAAAAGTGCCAGTATATGCCTACACTATAATCAATCAACATTAAAAAGCCTCTAATCAGCCAGGGAAGTCCTCTTCTTTTGCCCCTCTTTAGAGCAAACCTGAAGGTACTGATAAGATAACAGAGGATGGGCTTTTGCTTGCTAGCACATACTTTGTGGACACAGCTACCTGTGTTTCATAGATCCAACAATAGCAGCTTAAGCTTTGGCTCTTAAGATCAAACCAACCTTTGTGTGTTATGCTAGGTCATAAGTAAGGCCTGCGTATTTCCTGGGGGAGGCCTGCACTGCTCTTCTGTATGACAGAAATATGTTTGCTGTCTGAGGATCCATGCAACACATTTTCTATACTCATTTGAAAAAGTTCCCTCTGAGTGTTAATAGTAAGAGACTTGTGTCTTTCCATATTTACAACTTACAGGTCAATGAAGGAGATCCTGGAATCCAGCCTGTTTGAGGCTCAGCACCATTTGTCTCAGCTGGAGGTCACCAGGAGTCAGCTGGAAATCCAACTTCATACAGTCACTCAGGCCAAGGAGGTCATACAAGGTAAGGGTTCATGTGCTTTGTCTCTGGCTCTGGTCATCCCCCTGCCTAGGGCTGATCATATGAAATGACCTGTCTGTGATAACAGTGCTTCTGAGGAGTAAGGGAGAGGGATACAGATCCCTTCTGCAACAAAATTCAAATGGCTTAAGGCTAGTAAAACTGGAGCCTCTGTTTGGATAGGTACAAGACAGGGACTAAACCTCTTGCCATCCCTCTTGTTTGCAGGGGAAGTGAAGTGCCTTCATTGTGAGCTGGAAGCAGAGAGATTTCGAATGAAGCAGGAACGGGAAAGCATGGCACAGCAGCTCCTGCGGACCGAGCAGCAGTGTAACGACACCCTCAGGCTTCAGCAAACTGATCATGAGATGGAAATAAACAAGCTGCTGCAAGACCTAGTAGGAAACAACACAGCCCCTTTGCGCTAGGAGCCAGGCAGCAGAGCCAGTGTCTCACATTTGAAAGTGTGCAAGAGCCCACATGGCTATATAGGGACAGTAAATGCAGCTTGAGGTTCAGTGTGGACCAAAGAAGAATTCAACACCAATTGTGTACGGAAGGTTGGGTGGGCTCTGCAGAAAGCCTGACAGCAAAGGGGCAGAATTGATCCAGATTCCTCATTACCACAAAGTGGACTCCTAACATTCCTGCCAATTGTAATCACAAAAGAAACCCTTTTGCTCTCTGCCCCTTCCTAGTAGGCAGAGTCTTAATATTTGGAACAGGTTCCTTATTCCTGATACTTCAGTGTCTGTCCTTTGGGTAGGGCATCAGGATACAACCTGTTCCTACCTGCAGTCAGGTACCTTTTTTCTTTCCTTTTCTCTTCCCCCTTCCCTTCCCTTTCCCTTCCCTTCTTTTCTTTTAGGAAAATGGAGTTGAGCTTCAAAATAGAGACTATGAGAATAGAGAGAAATCCCGAGGCCAGATGGACTAGGAAAAAGGCAGCCATCAGAGAGGAGTACTTGTTCCACCTGCTTACCTTTCTTTTATGTTCCTTGGTAGGACAGCATTTCTGTAGGACACGAGTGTGCTGTTCAAGTGGGGTTTTGTGGAAGGGATGCTTTCTTCATGTGCTTGTGAAGAGGTTGGTCAGGATTCCATCTCAAAGTTTTTTCCTCCACCTAACAGGCAAGTGAGCAGGAAGGGCACCATTCAGAGCTACGGGAGATGCTGGAGCGCTGGGATAAGGAGAAAGCAGAGGCAGAAGGAAAGCATGAGAAGCAGCTATTGGATATGAGGCAGCAGGTTGCTGCCATGCAAGTTCAGCAAGAAGAGGAACGAAATAGAGCTGAAACTGCCAAGAAAGAGGTAAAGAACCTGAATGGAGAATTTGTGTGCTTTTACTTTTCTGGCTCCTTATTGGTGGCTGCCTGGGTAGAAGTATCTCTTGGATGCACTTTTATGTAGAAAAGTGGAGCCTTAACAACCAACCCGAAAGAAGTACAGTGAGCTATAGAAAACATGGAGACATGGTAACTGGATGGGTATTGGGCTGTGTGGAGCATGCCCTGTATTTTCCTGATGTATTTGAGGTGTAGAAAAATCTTTCTAAAAGCTGCTCTGAAGTGTTTTTGAACAGTAAAGAGCAGAGGTGGTCTCTGGGCTGTGTTTTAAGTCACTTGTTTTGAGCTCAGACCTCATATGCCAAAGCAACTTTGTCATATACTGGGAGTCCTCTTAGTATGCTGCCCAAAGTTGTGCTCTTTATTCAGAGCATCTAGGCACAGTAGGACCCACAGCTCTGTCTGCAGGTATTGCAGTGACAGGGCCAGTTCTCAGAGACGACAGCCTCTAATGACAGAACTTCACCAAACTTCACTGAATGCCTTAACATTGCAGTAACTTCTAACAAAGCACATTTAGAATACAAGACTTTTCTAAAGGAGCTCCTAACTTCAGCCCTCTGTTGGCCTTTCAGTTTCAGTGCTGCTACCCAGGTGGAAAAGTAGCTATTGAAAAACACAACACAGGACAAGAAATAACCTGACCAGCAACATTGGATACTTGAAAATTGTAATGCGTTTTCATATTAGATAAAAGATTTAAGAGATTATTGGGGATTGCAGATTGGACCATGTTTGTACTGCCAATCTTACTTTAGAAGTCTTTGCCTAGAAGTGAGCAGATACTGGCCTGGAGACCAATAGCACATTGCTTTGAAAATATGTGAGCCTGTTAGCCTGTTAGCCTTGCCACACAAATTTCACCTGTGATGTTCAAACACGTTTTCTGTCCCTTGCTTCTGTGCAGGTCCTGCTAGAAAAGGAGAATGAGAAGAAGGCTTTATTAGAGACACTACTTCAAACTCAAGGAGAGCTAACAGAAGCCTGCAAGCAGCTAGAGCAGCTCAGGCAGGATGTGAAAGAGCAGCAAGAGAATGGACAGGTAAAACTGACTAGCAGGGTGGGTTGAAAGAACAGTGGGCAATTGTACATAAGCTGAGAGAGAGGCTGATAGAGCCAGGCCACAGAGTGGGAGACAAGAGCAAAGAGCTGAAACAGAAGTCCTAGAATGGGGGAGAGAGGTACTACTGCAGGCACTGGGGCACAGGGCCTGATAAGCTCCAGAAATAAGCCAAAGGAACGAAGAGTTACAGTAGGAGCAAAGGTGAGTAGAAAGAGAAGTGTCTGAATGAAGCCGATTTGGGGACCGAAAAAGATCTGAAGGTGACAGCTGGCCCCAGTAACTTGCTCTTTATTCTTGCTTACAGAACATCACAGAAAAGTTGCAAGCAGAGCTTCAGGAAGCTCAGAGTAAGACCGCGGCCATGGAGAATAGGCACAAGGAAGAAATCAAAACCCTCAAAGAGGAAATGAATGTCCTTCTTCAGCAGAGGGATGCTCTACAGAAAAAGGTGACTGAAATAGCAATAGACACTTCAATCTTCAAAGAGATTGTCTTTCCACTTCTTGCTTTCCATTGTGTCACTGCAGAGCGGGCTGCAGGCATACCCCTCTGCCTGCTAGCATGCTCTAGACTCCTTTTCTGCTGTTTTGAAGACTTCTTACCTGTCAGTATGAACTTCAGCTGCTGCCCTGGATAGTCCTAGGCTTCTGCCTGTTATTTTGCCAATAATTATCAGGTGGATTTTCTGTTGGTCTGGTGCTGCTATCCCTGTTTTTTTTTCAGACAAGTGTGCTATCTTACTGAAGTTTTTAAACGTCAGCTGTATCTAATGTGACTGTAGTACTCTCATACTAGGATGAAGTTAAATCCATTCTTTGTCTTTCCCCACAGTATATGATACAGCTGATAGAGACAAGCTTTAGTCTTTGACTCCTCTATTATGTTTATTTCAGGTAGAAGAGTTGAAATCTCAACTAGCAGTCTCTGAAGAGTCCTGGCAAATAATTAGCCATGAAGCTCAGGAGCATCTGCGTGAGGCACAGGAATTGTCTAGGCAGAAGATGCTAGAGGTTGTGCACCTTGAGAACATCCTGGAGGAGGAGAGGAGCCAGTGGGAGGAGGTAGAACATCAGAACAGAGAGCTGCAAGCTCATCTGCAGTCCTTGGAGGGAGAAAGAAGTCAATGGGAAAAAGTACAGCGTCATAACACGGAATTTCAGGCTTCACTGAAAGCCCTGGAGAGTGAAAGAGCCAGGTAATTGAGACAATGTGATAGACTTTGTTCTCTTTTAATAGGTTCCTTCTTTAAAGTCTTGCATATGTAAGTGACTCTGGAAGCATTTCCTAAAAAAGTTTGAAATTATCCGCATAAAACTGTTTCAATCTATTGGTGTTGTTTTATTCTTTCTTTTCTTTTTATCCTTCAATTACAGTTTTTCTGAAACCAATGGGTTTTAAAGCAGTCCTTTCTTTAAGGGAGGATTTATCTAATGAAAGAGTTAAATGCAGCTTTCAGGGGATTCAAACATAAAGCACACCAAAGGAGGCAAGATAAACTGCAGTATAATGGGTGGGGTAGATCGAGCAATCCTGCCTTGGGACCAGGGAGCCATGAGGCTTGGGTCCAGTGGGTCCTTTTTGGATCTGTATCAGTCTTCATTCCTGATTCCTTTGGTCAGAAACCTGTTGGTTATGTTCTCCTGGGACATCTTTGAAGTTGAGAAGAAGCCCCTTGGTACCAAATGTAGTATGTGTACTCCCCTGTACACGTACATATATTCCTGTATGAAAACAAGCATAGAAGGTATGTGCTTGGGTATGACTAGTTGATCAGATACTGCTTAGCAGGAAAAGCAATTTTGCTGAGGGTTTATTTAATATGACACAGTGTAATGATGGGTTGCTTATTCTCTCTTTCTTACAGGCTGACTCTGTCTCTGGAAAAAAAGGAACTGACCCTCAGAACCCTAGAAGAAAACAGTGTTTCCCAGCAGAATGAGGTGTCTAAATTGCTGTCTGCCATTCACGAGGCCCAGCAGCTCCATTCAGACCACAGAAGAGAAATACAAGAGCTCAACAACCAGGTGCCCTTTGCCTAATATCCTCTTCTTTTGAATACCACCTTCAATTTGTAGGCAGTGAGTTGTTTCCCTTCCCAGCAACACACATTACTTCTGCCCAGAGATTTTGCACATTGAAACCAAGGCTGGATCTCTGCTGTGTTCTCCCCATGGTTTCCCCTAATCTCTCATAGTTGATGACATTATGTCTCTGAGAAGAAAGAGAAGACTCCTTTGGAGCTTTTCAGTACCTCTGTTACAACTGTTGTCCCTAGATGGTTCTTCGACCTCTGAAGGGTACCTAGCAATCTGGTGAGACAGAAATGGTTATTTCATTCCGTAGAAGGCACTTCCATTGCAGCCTGTCCATCTTGCATTTTGGAGATGCTCAGTAGGGGATGCTGATTGACTGCCCTTTATTTCTCCTTTCAGTTGTCTCTGGCAGCCACCACACTCATGCTGGGATGTTTGATCTACCACCTCACTCTGACAGGCATTCACCTAAACACAAGCGTGTACATTCGTTTCTGTGGTTGGAGAGTGTAACAGGTCATTCCTTTGGGATTGCGGAAACTTCCTTTTGTCCCCTTAGCCTCTAGATGCCTGTTTCTAGACTACTGTCTGTTTTGCATCATTCGGATCCTTTGGGATTTTTTGTCTTTGTCTCCTTTGTGTGGTGTTTGCTTGAAGTGATTTCTGCTCCACTGTTTTTCATACTTTCTGCTCTACTACCTCAGAAACAGCTCTGTCCCTGAGGCTCTGTGTGTCTCTGTTACAGGTTCAATCACTGCAGGAAATGTTGCTTGAGAAGGAGGCTGGCCTGGTGACTCGGGAGAAGCAGTTGTTGGAAGATCTAGAGCAGTCCCGAGCAGGCGAACGATGCTTGAGGGACTCTTTGAGGGTGCTGGAGGCTGAGATGTCTGAACTTCAGCTGAGGCTCTGTAGCACAGAGAACAGAGCCAAGGCACTGGCTGCAGAGTGCCAGCAGGCTAACAGCGCGCGCTGTGAAGCCCAGGCCCAGCTACAGCAACTGCGTTTGGTTCTCCATCGCATGCTGTGTGGCAGCGCGGATAAAAGCAGAGACTTGGTCGCTCAGACTTCAGGCGAGTGTGGGAGGCTGGGCTTGAGTAGAGTGTGTATAGGAGAGCATGTGGGGGGAGGGATGGTTCTTCGTGATCCTGATAGACTGACCCGTGCTTTGAAGAAGTCTTGAATGCCCGAGGTGTCTGCAGAGAGAAAAGTCCATGTCTGTGTGTGGCAAATGACCAGTATCAGCTTGAAATAGGGCCCATGATGTGGAAGCACCTGTGCATCTTCTCTGGGACGGTGCTGGCATTAGCATGCAGCAAAACAATGTTAGCCTGTAACACATCCTTGCTGTATTATACGCTCTACGGCAGCCTCTTATGCACTGCCACCTTCTTCTGTGTACAAACAGGCCTCTCTTATTGGAGATCCTCCAATTAAAGCTTAAAACAGAATGGCTTCTTTCTTCAGAACAGGATCATGCCTGGGGCCTAACTGTTTCTCAGCCCGGGGACCTCCCCATAGACATCACAGTGGACAGAGTGGCCACAGCCTTACGAGACCTGCACCAGGACCTGAAGCACACTCAGCAAGATCTGGTAATGTGTCTCTGTAGTACAGCCAGAAACCCTATCTCTGCTGACCTGAGCTGACTAGCAGGCAGCCAAACCAGAATGGATGTAAACTCTTGCTTTCATTTAGGCCAGGTTTGCTTGATGCCGTCCGGAGTAAGGTGAATCATGACTACAGCTACTACTGCTGTCCAACTGGCCCCATCCCTGGCTTAGTTCTCCCTTAGCTTTGATACCCCTTTTGTCTCCTTCCAGCTGTGGCTCTGTTTTCTCATACTGCTCTTATTTCCTCCAGAATCATGCCAGAAAGAAGTCACAGGAGCTGGAGCTGGAGCTGAACAAGAGACTGGCTGAGAGGGATCACATCAGTGCCCGCAATTTAGAGCTACAGCAACTACTGGCCCAAAGCCAAGAAGGTACTGCCTCCACTTTCCAATGCACTGAGTCCCTCCGGTCTCACCAGCAGGGAGTTCTGATACCACGCAGTGGGAAAAATGCAGTGCCAGGAGATGGGAAAAGAAAAAAAAAAAAATCAAGGAGCATGAGGCTTATTCCTAGAATTAGCAGCGCAGGGGAGTGAAAGCTTGTCATAGTGAGGGATCCAGTGCCTGGCTGGTGATGCATGTGTAAAGTGGGTGTCTTTCAGGTTGCATGACACTGCAAAGGAGAGGTAGCTTGATGTATCATAACTTCTCCATATGCCCTTTGAATGCCCCAGCCTGAAAAGTCTTATCATTACTGGCTGCCTTTTCCTTTTGCAGTTTCATGGAGTATTAGTTCAGTGTTAAGTTTCTGTGTTACTTTATTCCCCAATGCATCCTTTTTTCTGCTTCTGTCTAGTTCTCTGGTATCTAATGCTTCTGTCCTTTCCTAGCTGTCCTCTGATACTGATTTGGTGTCTGAGCTCACATTCATAGCAAACAGCATTTTCCTTGCCACATCTTACTTGTCTTTGATAACATGTTCAGTATGAGCTTGTCTAGAAAATTTTTCATGTGCGACCAATTACTTCTGTCTTCCTTCAGTCTTTTGACCTTCTTAGAGCCTTCAGTGTTATTGGCCTCTTTATGTTGTAGCTGAATATTGCATCTCTTCTTCTCTCTCTGTCAAGCTTCTCCCACTCTCCAAATCAGAATTTCTTTTCTATCTCATTGGCTTGTTTTCCTTGTCTCAAACTGCAGGAACCAGAAAGTGCTAGCATGACTCATTGCCTCCCCCACAAGCCACCCTCACAAGCCAGCTCATGTAGTACCTTTAACTAACCAATATTTCTCTCTTGTTCCTTCTCTGAGGTTGAACTGCTGGTCATTTTGCCATCCGTCTTTGCAGGAAAGTTTTCCAGGCCTTTAATCATCTCTAGTTGTGCAACATCTGTAGTTCTTTGTCATGCATGGTAACACCTCATGGACTGTAAATTTTGCTATTGGTGGATCCTGCTCTTGCACTTGCCCATTTTTTCTCCTGTTCAGTTGTTCAGTTCCTATCTATTCATCAGTAGTCTCACTGTTTGTTTCCAGTGTCACTATTGGAGCAATATTCAGATGTTTTTGCCTGTTCTCCCTGAATATTTCCTTTTCCTTTTTTTTCCTGTCAGTGCACAGTGCATTCCCCTTGCACTCTTTTGGTCAAACACCTCAAAGTACATCTTCAAGAAA